GCTAAAGGGGGAGGGCTTCGGAAGCCCCCCCCCCTCCCCTTCTTTTCGTAGTCCGGAAAAGGGGGGGGGGGTCTTCCAAGCTACCCCCCCCTCCCTCCCTTTAATTGAGCCGGGGTGAGCCACCCCTCCCCCTTTGAAAGGGGGAGGGGCTTCGGAAGCTACCCCCCCCTCCCCTTCTTTTCGTGGCCGGAAAAGGGGGGGGGGGCCTCCAAGCTACCCCCCCCTCCCTCCTTTTAATGGAGCTGGGGTGAGCCACCCCCCCCTTTGAAAGGGGGGGGAGGGCTCTTTGGAAGCTCCCCCCCTTCTCCCTCCCTTGGTGCAAAAGGGGGGGAGGGGGGGCTTGAAGCCCCCGCCCCCTCTCCTCTTTGGCTCATGTGGGGGAGGTGAGAGGAGGGAGGGAGGAGGATTGTATGGCAATGGATTGGACTTGCGATTGTTGGGTATTCGTTTTGAATAAGGGACTGGTCTCCACCTTCCTTCCTCCCATCCTTGGGGGGCTGCGATCTGCGAAACTGTCGCCACTTTCGAACGCTGCTGGTGGGTCCAGCGGGGTGACGCACCGCGCGGACCTGAGCGAGACCTCGCCGTCCCTGGGGGGGCTGCGATCTGCGAACCTGTCGCCACTTCCGAGGGCTACTGGTGGGTCCAGCGGAGTGAGGCACCGCGCTGACCCGAGCGAGACCTCGCCGTCCCTGGGGGGCTGCGATCTGCGAAATTGTTGCCACTTTCGAGGGCTGCTGGTGGGTCCAGCGGAGTGAGGCACCGCGCGGACACGAGCGAGACCTCGCCGTCCCTGGGGGGGCTGCGATTTGCGAAATTGTTGCCACTTTCGAGGGCTGCTGGTCGGATCGCCACTTTCGAAGACTGCTGGTGGGTCCAGCAGAGTGAGGCACTGCGCGGACCTGAGCGGGACCTCGCCGTCCCTGGGCGGCCATGTCATGTTGTCGCCGCCCCGCCCACGTTTCAAGCACCTTGCCCACAGTCTCCTTTTGGACCTTGCGTCTTCCTTGGTGACTCAGGGCTTCACTTAGTTACTCATCGTTTTTCCTTTGATTGGGGACCTGCGAACCTCCCGAATGCCGCTCGCAGAAGTATAGGCGTCCATGCCACGTCGCCGCCTTCTCGTCAAGTCTCCCAAGCTACTCCTGCCCCGCATTGCGCAGGGGTTGGGTACGTCGCCAGGGTAATTATCAGAGAAATCCTTGAGGCTCAAACTGGGCCCCTGGCCCCCGGGTTACAACAAGAGCGGCTCCCGCCTCAGACTTCCTCACAATTTAGCCAGGACCCCCGCTCCCGCCCGAGATTTCCTCGCATTCGATTCAGGAATCGCGCTCTCGCTGGGGAATTCCTTACAATTCATTTAGGAATCGTCCTCCCGGCGCTCTGGAGTCGCGCTCTCGCTGGAGACTTGCTTGCAATTTACTGAAGAATCGCGCCTTTGCGTTGGAATTTCTTGCAATTTGCTCAAGCGCCGCGCTCCCGACACCCAGGCACCCAGGAGTCGCGCTCACGCTTAGGACTCCCTCGCAGATTACCTAGGAATCGGGATCTCGCTGCCTTTTGTGGCCCCGTTGCAGCCCTGCGTGGCCCCCTCGAGGCCCTTCGTGGTGCTGTTGCAGCCCCTCGTGGCCTCCTCGCTGCCCTTCGTGGCCCCGCTGTCGCCCTTCGTGGCCCCCTCGCTGCCCTTCGTGGCCCCGTCGCAGCCCTTCGTGGCCCCTGTTGCTGCCCTTCGTGGCCCCGTCGCAGCCATTTCTGGCCCCGTTGCTGCCCTTCGTGGCCCCATCGCTGTTTTTTTTTTCTTTTTTTTCCCTTCGTGGCCCCATTGCTTCTCTCAGTGGCCCGTCTGCCTCGCGGCCCAGTATACGTATGCCCTTCGTGGCCCCCGCTCGTTCGCGCCCGTTGTGGGACCATCGCCCTCGGATGCCGTTCTCTGGGCCCCGGCTGTCGCCGTTGTGGCCCCCTCTTCGTTGTGGCCCCCTCATGTCCTAGGCTACGTGGCCCCAGTGGCTACCCTCAGTGTTTGCGTTTTGGCGGGGGGGCAGGGGGGCCGGGGGCGGCGGGGAGCGGGGGGGGGGGGGGGGCCCCGTCGTTGCCCTCTGTGGCCTCGCATTATCTGCCCTTCGTGGCCCCCGCTCGTTCGCGCTTTTCGTGGCCTCGCACTCATTCCCTTCATGTCCCCGCTGTCGCCCTTCGTGGCCTACTTCATGTCCTTGTGGCCCTGCTGTCGTTCTCTCTCGCTCTCGCTTTCGCTCGTCGTCGTCGTCGCCGTCGTCGTCGTCGTCGCCGTCGTCGTCGACGTCGTCGTCGTCGTCGTCGTCGTGGTCGGTCCCCTGTCCGTCCCTCTTGGGGTCGGGTCGACAGTCCGCGGCCGCCCCGCCGATCAGCGTTGCCGCTGGCCAGGCCGACGGTCAGCGGCCGCCCCGCCGCTTGCCGGGGCCCGGCCTGCAGGGGAAAAAAAGTATACCCCCCAAAAGGGGTTCGATCGAAGACGATGAGGGCGGGTATCGAGGGTTTGGGCAGTACGCGCTATTGGACATTCGAGCAAATAAGGGCGAACAGTCTTAAAATGATTGTTGTTGGTGTTGTTGGTGTTGTTGTTGTTGCTGTTGCTGTTGTTGTTGGTGTTGGTGGTGGTGTTGTTGTTGTTGGTGTTGTTGTTGCTGCTGTTGGTGTTGTTGTTGGTGTTGTTGTTGTTGTTGTCGTTGTTGTTGTTGTTGGTGTTGTTATTGTTGTTGAACATTATTACTTCTAAAGAATAATTATTGTTGGGACCCCTGGTGCACGCCCCCCCCGCCGCGCCTAGGCCGCAGCCACATTTCCATCATTTTCGTGAGGAAGTCTCAGGCAAAACGATGTGATCCAGATCCGGTTGTTTTGTTCCCCCCCGCTTTCCCTTGCAAAAAACCATATAAAATGACATGTCTTGTTCTAACATAACCACATTTCAAGAATCCATTGCAAAAAATAAGGTAAAGTGGACATTCGCGCGCGCAAGACGAAATCCTTCCAAAACCTTAGTTTTCGTAGCAATTTTAACATAAAAACATAAAATAACAATGTTTTTTTTAGAAAAAAAAAAAAAAAAAAAAAAAAAAAAAAAAAAAAAAAAAAAAAAAACCAAAATTTCATCCCGCGCGCTCTTGCGGATTCGTAGGAAACCCAACACTTTTAAAACATTTCTGTCAAACGGGCTTTTGCGAGCAACTTTTTCGAACTTCTGCAACAACGGTTGCGCACCTGCCAGGGCCATCTTACCATGCGGGACACATTCGTTTTCTCTTCGCGCGCGCACGCCGTCGTCGTCGGCCGCGGGGCCCTGAATAGTAGCCACGGTCGTCCGCATGCCACGAAGTGAAGTGTCCGAACGTCATAGGGCGGGAAGCTGGGTGTGGGTGGTGGCGAAGAGTCGTTTGGAAATTTGGTAGAGCGTGAAACGGCCCCCCCACAAAGTGGGGGTATTGCCCGCCTCCTATGAAAACCCTGGCACTGGTGAGAACGGAGTGTCCCCACGTGCTAGTAATTGTTGTTGTTGTTGTTGTTGTTGTTGTTGTTGTTGTTGTTGTTGTTGTTGTTGTTGTTGTTGTCGTTGTTGTTTATAGTGTTGTTGCTGTTGCTGTCGCTGTTGCTGTTGGGGCCCGTTTCTTTATTGCTTGGGGCATGACGGGCGTCATGGCCCCCGGCCCCTCACTATGACGTAACGCTCCCCCCCCAATGCGTTCCGGGCACTGCCGCCGTGCGCATCGTGATCCGCATAGGTGCCCGCATAGGAATCTTATAGGAGTCTGGTCCGCAGTCGTCGCCGTCGCCGTCGTCGTCGTCGTCGTCGCTTGTCGCTCGTCGCTCGTCGCTCGTCGCTTGTCGTCGTCGTCCGCGCGGACGCAGCTGGAGCTCCTTTTTTACGAAAGGGAGGGCGGAGGCTCCGGGGGCTGGGCGGCCAAAGGGGGGAAGAGGGCTTCCAAGCCCCCCCCTTTGGCACAGGGGGCGGGGGGGGAGCTTCCAGCAGGGCGGCTCCAAGGAGGGGGGGTAGCTTAAGCACCCCCATCCTTTGGAAGGTGGTACGGGGTGTGCTTCCGGGGCGGTCACAGGGGGTGGGTAGCTTCCAAGCACCCCCCCCCCTTTGCACGAAAGGGGGGAGGGGGGGGCTAGCTTCCAGCAGGGCAGCGCCAAGGGAGGGGGGGGGTAGCTTAAGCCCCCCCCCTTTGGAAAGGGGGAACCGGGGGGGGTAGCTTCCGGGGAGGGCCCAAGGGGGGAGGGGGGGGTAGCTGTAAGCCCCCCCCCCTGCAAAAAAAAGGGGGGGGTGCTTCCAACAAGGGCGGCTCAAGGGAGGGGGGGGTAGCTTAAGCCTAGCCCCCCCTCCCCTTTGCTCGGGCCCTGTGGGCGCGCTCTCTCATACATATACATATACATACACATATATATATATATATATATATATACATATATATACATATAAATATATACACATACATACAAATGCTTCGCATGAGCACGCCCGTATACATACACACGTGCACATATGCCAACACACGTAAGGGTACACACACTCCCGGGATCACTTCCTTCGTGTTAGTCTCATGCAGTTTCCATTCACGGCGCGGGGGAGATACACATTGCCACGCGCACACGCATAGGCATGTTCGGAGAGAGCACCGTGCTTGAAACTTCTGGTAGCTGGTGGAACCGATTATTGGCGCCAAACCCAGCTACGATCGATCATCAGGTATGCCCGTGCATGTGCGTATAGGATGGCAATCTGCACGTGAATGGGCAGTGCTTGTACGTGCACGGGTGCATGTAGACGCATGCAGCGTAGTTGTTGTGCGTGTGCTCAGCTTCCTGTGCGTATGACGCACCGCGTGTATCGATTAGGGCGGGCCAGTTTGTCCATGGATACGTTCATACGTTGACCATGCATGTGGTACGTGCCAAACGCATACACTTGACGCCAATGCACGAAGAGACCGCATGTAGAATTGATCCAGGCCCGAAAATCGGGGAGGGAGGACAACGAGGAGCTGGACGGGCAGTCCGAGTTGCAGCAGGTCCTTGGCGACGGCTCTCTTGATTGTTCGTTTGCTTTCCAACATGACTGACTCCTCTTTGCTTCAGCCTCGGCCTCCTCCTCCTCCTACCCCAGTCCCTCCGACTACGCTCGGGTGTATGAATGTGCTATACGGAATGCTTGGTTGTCTGACGCGTTTGCAGGCGTATGGTTGTGCCTCGTCCGTAGGCTCCTCGCCATTGTTCCTTGCGTGCGGTCTGTCGTCTGTGCGTCATCACGCCACGCTGTTCGTCCAGCAGGGATGATGTGAAGGAGGAGATGGAGGTGACGGAGCAGACGGAGGAGGAGGAGGAGAAGGAGGAGGAGGAGGAGGCGGGAGGAGGTGGAGGAGCGAGGAGGAGGAGGAGGAGGAGGAGGAGGAGGAGGAGGAGAAGGACGAGGAGGAGGAGGATGGGGGAGTAGGGTAAAGAGGAGGAGGAGAGGAAGAGGAGGAGGAGGAGGGGGAGGAGGAGGAGGAGGAGGAGGAGGAGGAGGAGGTGGAGGAGGAGGACCACAGTAAGCCCAGGATGCATCCACGATGCTGCAACACGCCCTCCCGCCCAAAAGCCCCCTCCTCGCGAGCCCCCTATATAACCAAGTCGGGCCTGTCCCTCTGCAGGAGGAATATGCAGGAACGGTCAGAAAATAGTCTGGGGACGATTTCCTCGCCATTTTTGACTACTGTGGAGCAGTTTCTTTGTATACTTTTGACTTCTCGTCCAAAATTCGCCTCTAGGGGGACATGCCCGACCTAACCCTGTAAGGAGTCGTTTCTCACTGCTGCGGGAAGGGCCTTCTCAAGAGGGGGAAAAACACACAGAACCAATGAACCGTCGATTCTCCAGGAAAATATGGGAAAATATAGGCAGTCGGGGGGAAGACAAAAACCAGAAAAGATTGGAAAAGATGGGGGATGCTGCTATTTGTGTGTATTTATTTGTGTGTCCCAGGGCCCCTTCAGACATGCCCGACCTAACCCTGTAAGGAGTCGTTTCTCACCGCTGCGGGAGGGGCCGTCTTGGAACGACGAGGCCCCGGCGGGTCTGCCTCTCGGGCGAGGCCCGGGCTTCGGAGAGGACTCACCCACCACAGACGAAACGACGTCTGATGCAAGTGTCGGGGGCGGCAAAGAAGGGGGTGATGACTAGGGGGGGCTGGATATCATGGCGGGGGCCATGATATTTCCCCAGATTTCATGGCGCTTCTCCTTATTTCATTACGTCCCTGGCCCCCCCCGCTGGGCCGCGCACATGCCGCCGGTCATGATTCGCACCCCCCCCTCTTGGACACCCCCCTCTTGGCCGCCCCCGAAATTGGTCGTTTTTTATTCATCGTTTTGCCGATCGGCGTGGACCCTCGCACCCCCTCCCCCGCCCTCCCACCTCCCCCCCCCCCGGAGAAAAAAACTTGTCTAGTCTGGCGCCTGTCTCGATCGGGTGGACTCCCCCCCCAGAGGCAGCTTTCTTGCAAACAGTCGCACTGAGCAGAGGTCGGGGGCCAGACCCCCCCCCTCCTCCCCCCTTCCGCTTCATGTCGAAACGCCGAATAAAAAACGCTCACCTTCGGTCGTTGAAAGTAGCTATGTTTGGGTTCCCAGGTTCCAATCTACTTTAGGCGCCGTCCTGCCTCAATGGTCGAGTGGCTTCACTTGTTCTTGTTCTGTCCCTCCTTGGGGGGCGGGCGGGAACCCAATATGTTGTCGACGCCTTCCTACTTCATGTTTCTACCGACTGCTTCCGACCGATGGGTATGGTTACAAGGTCCTGCGAGGGAGGTGTCCAGAGATAGCCCCGTTTGGGAACAGGGTTCGGTCTTCATCCGTCTAGTAGTTGCGCAGTGTCAACGAAGGATCTGCCTTGCACCCGTGCACCTGCTGCGCAATCCTTCGGGTCATCCAGTTCGAACAGTCCTTAAGCGAGAACCCACCTTTTAAAAGCGAGCCCGCCTTCACCGATGCAAATGTTTGAAGCTTCGATGACGTATGCCTGCCGCGCTAGGGCGAAAAGAGCATTCTGAACACGTTCAGCGCTCCATCCTTCCAAAGCGTTGGAGCTGGCTAGCTTCAGGATGGTACGCCAAAGGAAAGTCTCACGAGGAGCGCCCGGCCTGGCCTGCGGGCACGTCCGGTGGTGAGGCGGGGGAGCTCTGCGCAGGGACGGCGACGGGGAAGCGGCAGCAGCAGCAGAGGGACGGGGGGGGAGACGAGGGCGGGGGAGGGGGACAGACGAGCAGCATGGGAGAGGGTGTGGAGGAGGCGAGCGAGAGGCAAGCAGGAGGGAGGAGGGAGGAAGAGGAGGATCATGAGCAGTTTGAGGAGGAGGAGGAGGAGGAGGAGGAGGAAATGAGGTGTTCCTCTCCCCCCCTCTCTCCCCCCCCTGCTTTCACGATTCCGCCCGTCGCTCCCCTGTGCCTGGCCTCCTCTTCGCTGGCAGCTGTTGGCGCTCCAGGACGAATTGCGGTTTTCGCGGGCCACCGCCGAGCGCACTCTCTGACTGCCGGAGCTACACCCCGACCCGACCAGACCCCCCCCCCCAGTTCCTTATCCCTTGCCGTCACCCCCTTCGCCTTCTCCCCGCCTCTCCCTCTTACATGATGCTCGATACTGTGCGTCGCCATTCTTCCTGGGGGATTGTGTCGGAAGATTCCCTTTTCTCTTTCCATCCTCCATCCTCTCTCCCTCATGTGCCCATCCTCCGGGTTCCGCGTCCTTCTGAGATGTTTGTGCACACATGCTCCGTCCCATGGACTCATGATACGATTGACACCCGGCAGGTGCTTGACCACACGCAGACGAACCTGTGGTGGGCGGGCAAGCAGCTGGGCCTCGATCAGACATTAGAAGAGTGCTCCTTGCGGAGGATGGCGCTCAGAACGTGGAGCACGAGGGGGGCAATGGCGATAAACATAGTGGTAATGATGAAGATGTTGTTGATAGGGTTACTGTTGTTGTTGATGATGAGTATGCTGATGATGATGGTCCCGATGATGATGGTGATGACGATGGCGATGATGATGATGATGCTGATGATGATGATGATGATAATGGTGGTGATGATGATGATGGTGATGAGAATGATGCTGATGATGCGGATGATGATCATGATGATGACGATGATGATGATGATGATGATGATGATGATGATGATGATGGCGATGCTGATGCTGATGCTGATGATGATGATGATTATGAGTATGGTCATCATCATCGTGATCATGATGATGGTGACGATGGTGACGATGGTCATGGTCATGAGTAAGGTGATGGTGGTGGTGATGGTGATGGTGATGGTGATGGTGATGGTGATGGTGATGATGGCGGTGGTGCTGGTGGAGATGGTGGTGTTGGTGGTGATAGTGATGGTGATTTCGATGCTGACGGTGATGCCGAGAAGGAGGAGGAGGCGGAGGAGGAGGAGGAGGGCGACCAGCAGTGGCGCGGACCCTCCCTCCCCTCCTTGCCCTCGTGCGCCTCCCTCCCCCCCTCCTCTCCAGTACCCAGCCCCCGGAAGGGGAAGAGGACAACGTGGAGAAGCATGAGGAGCAGGAGGAATAGGAATGGGATAGATATAGAGGATATGGATGAGGCAGAGGAGGGAGATGAGGAGGAAGAGGGGGAGGAGGAGGAGGAGGAGGGGGAAAGGGTGGAGGAGGAGGAGGAGGAGGAGGGCGAGCTCGCGGTGCGTCCCCGAAGAAGAAGAGCAGGGCGAGGAGAGCGAAGGAGGAGGAGGAGGAGGAGGAGGACGATGACAAGGAGGCGTTGGAGCGGGGGCACCTCGCCGTCTCCGCCGCGCCAGGAGAGGAACCCGAGGGAGGACGAGGTGCCGCAGAGGACGAGGAGGAGGAGGACGACGACGACGACCACGACGACGAGGGAGCTGGACGGCGGAAGGCAGGAGGCGGCGGATGTGAGACTCCTCGTCCGCGTCTCTGCCCTCAGCCGCCAGCCCCTGCTCTCTCGCTCTCTCTCTGCTCCCCTCTCTCTGCTCGCGTCCCCGTCCGCACCCTCGTCCTCTCCTGCTCCTGCTCCCTCCCTCCCTCCCTCTCGCTCTCTCTCTCTCTCTCTGTTCCCTCCCTGCCCTCTCTCTGCCCTCGCCCGCGCCCACCGGCCCCTGCTCTCCCTCTCTCTTTCTCTCTCTCTCTCTCTCTCTCTCTCTCTCTCTCTCTATCTCTCTCTCACTCTCCCGATATATATATATATATATAGAGAGAGAGAGATGCCTCTCCCTGCTCTCTCTCTCTCTCTCTGCTCCCATCCCCTCGCCCGCATCTCCGTCCCCAGCCCCTCGCCCGACGACGGCCTCGCCGGCTCGCGGGGCCGCTCTCGCGCGGGCCCTCCCCCGCGCCCGGGCGGCACGCCTCGCCCCGCCTCGCCGCGCCGCGCTCCGCCGGGGGGGTCGACCGCGGGGGCGCGCCGCCGAGCGTGGCGCTGCGGCCACTCCTCGCTCGCCTTCCTCCCCCACCGCAGCCTCCTCCTTCTCCTCCGCCTTCTCCTCCTCTCCTCCTCCTCCTCATCCGTCCTCCTCCTACCTCCTCCTCCCCTCCTCCTCCTCCTCCTCGTCCGTCCTCCTCCTCCTCCCCCCCCACCCCTCCTCCCTCATCCTCGCTCCCTCCTTCTTCTCCCCCCTCCTCCCTCCACCTCCTCCCTCTCTCTTTTCCCTCCCTCTCTCTCTCTCTCTCTTCTCTCTCCCCTCTCTTTCTCTCCCTCTCTCTCTCTCTCTCTCTCTCTCTCCCTCTCTCTCTCCCTCTCTCTTTCCCTCTCTCTCTCTCAGTCTCGCCAGCTCTGTCTCTCTCTCTCTCTCTCTCCCTCTCGCTCTCTCGCTCTCTCTCTCTCTCTTTCTCTCGGTGTGTCTCCCATGATTTATACACTGAGATCTACGCATACTTGGCCAACGTGTGCGTACATATACATACAGATGTGTGTGTGTGTGTGTGCTCCCCCTCCTCTTCAACCTCTTCCTCGTCGTCCTCTGCCTTCCCCTCATATCCCTCCCCCTCCTCGTGCTCGACCTCCTCTTCTCTATCCGGATCCTCCTCCAGCGCAAAATGGCGCGTTGCCCATCCACCTCCACCTTTGGCATGGATGCGGGGCACTTCTCTCCCGAGGTACGTGGGCAGGAACGAGAAGACAAAGATCGTCGCCAAGCTAGCGCCCAAGACCGCTGGCGCGCCAGTGCGAGAACCTCGAATTGACGAGAACACGCACAAGGCATCTGATGTTTGGGGAAGGGCATGCTCAGAGCACAGCCTTCGCTAAAGCAGTGCATGGACATCCCCATGGGCTTTTACGATCTGGGTGAGTCTCAACATCTGTTAGTATCAGTGCGCCGTCGCATCACCCGCATCTTGAGAAGGGGCCTCTGCGCTCACGGTGTCGGGTGCCTAGCTAGCTCAGACATCGAAGGCCTCCCCTGAGAAGGATTCAGAGAACGAGGAGGATCAGGAGGAGGGAGAGAGCGGATAGGAGAGGAGGAGGAGGAGAGCAGGAGGTCCCGGTCCCAGCAGGGAAGGAAGGGCCCAGGGTGTTTATACCATCGGGTCGGACATCAGCCGAGGCCGTGGTCCTTAGACTAGGAATCAAGGTGGGAGAAGGTTGAGGCATACACGCGAGACATGTGTACAATGTTGCCGGGCATCCGGCCTTACTGTTGTCCAGTCCAGGCAATGATGGCCCATTATTACAAGAAGCAAGAGGAGAATAAGAAGTTGGAGACCGACGATGACGACTCTTACCTGGACTCGCAGTGGATGGGAGGGGGTACCCTTTATGGTTCCATGCGAGGACACCGTCTGCGTTCATGAGAGGTGTCATTGCTCGGAAGGGCTACACTGTTGCCCGTTCGATTGCGAGCCGACGACTGTCACACGGTGGGCAGGTTACGCATCTGCAGCCGAGGTGGTCCGAGCGCGTGCGAAAGCGGCATGGATGCACGTTGAGTTGAGCGACCCGTCGTGCACATCTCGACCGCGTGCCCTATGGGAGAGGGTGGGCAGGATGAGGCGCTGGCGGATGGCCTTGGCCCGCAGAGCAGGAGGAAGACGAGGAGGAGGAGGAGGAGGAGGAGGCGCCTGGAGGAGGAGGAGGAGGAGGAGGAAGGAGGAGGAAGGAGGAAGACAAGGAGGAGGAGGAGGAGGAGGAGGAGGAAGACAAATATCTCTGGCCTTGTCGTGTTCATGTTCGACGCTGGCCTCACCGAAATCTCCCATCGCCAGATCTAAGTCGGATTGCTTTACCTTGTTGTTGTTTGCCACTGCCGACCGCTGCAACCCTAGTTCTTGAAGTTTGCCAAACGTGAGAAACATGGAGGACGACGAGGGAGGTATGGGCATCGGCATCGGCAGTACAGCTCGCTGCCCGTTCCGAAAACCAAAGACGGATTCGGCCTACTGGAAGAAGAGTGGGCAGGCGGGCCCCATCCTGATCCAGACAAGCCCCGATCAAAGAGGGAGCTCGGAACAGGGCCGAGTCCTGGGGTAGCTCTTCGTCTCTGCCACCTGCTATGCTCGGCCTGATCCCTCTGCTTTTCAAAGTGATTGTCTAAATTCAGGAGGCAAGGCTGGAACTGGCGGGCGAGGAGGGGGAAGGGGGGAGGTCGGGAGGCTCCCCAGTGCGGCATCGGCCTTCTCCAGGAAGGCAATGATGTCCTCCTCCGCCCCTGGTTCTACATGAGCTCCACTGCTTGGGGCGGCGTGTGGTCGCGGTCGGTCGAATCGGGTGTCCCGTTTTCGGCGTCAGTCAAACATGGCAGCGTCTTGAGCGAGGTTATCCTCTGGGCACAGTCTGGGGGTTGAGGGTCTTGCAGAGAGCACACGGCTCGTCGGGCAAGGGGGACAGGTCCGTCACAATGCTTGTGGTGGACCAAGCACGCTCCAGATACATATGAATAGATCTGGCTATCGTCTCGCACATTTCCCTTGGGTACCTTGTCTTGGGGGCCAGTGCGCCAAGAGCCATCCTCATTCCGACCCTCGAGGCTCCGATGGGCTCCTGGGGGTGAGGTCACTTCCCATGTCGTCCAGTTTCCTTGATGCTGTCTCTGAGCTCGGGTCGGCGAACAGCCAGGAGAGTACCTAGTATGAGCTTTGCTGACCTGTCCAGAGGTGCACTGGTCGAACCTTATCATTTTTGCCGCAGGCGATGCCGAGATCGCCTTGGCCGCATTCGCCTCCCAGGAACTCGGGGCTCCCCGGTTCCCACCAGGCCTGCACCGAGATTCCCCAAACCCGCAGCCCCCAATCATTAAGCGGACCATCGAGTGTTGGTGAGCATTGAGCAACAGTTGGTTGGGTATCTCCAGCTGGAGCTGCTGGCATGAAGGAGACGTCTGGTCTCCCCCGCAAGTGCTTGCACGTCCGAAGCGGAAGGGGTCCCGAGCCTTCGACGTCCGATAATCGGTCCTATCACACAGCAAACCAAGACTCGCATGGTGTCCGCCCGCGGTGCCGAGAGTTCGCTCTGTCTTGAGGAGGTCGTACCATTTCTCAAGAATTGGGGTCCTGGTGAGGTCCCCAGGGTCCCTGTCCAGGGAAATGCCCAGGGAGATGATGGCAACAGTCCAAGGTCCCGAAACCAGCAACCTTTCCAGATCTTCATGAAGGTCACCTGGACTCCTCGCTCCCGAGAAACAGCGCACAAACGCCAGAACCGTGTAGTGGACCTCGCTGGGCAAGATATCTCCAGCATATCCCGCGTGCTCATCCGATCGGAACCGCCACTCCCAATCCTGGGGGTCGGAGGTGTCGTCTACCTCGATGAAGGGGAGGTTGGAGGAGTCGTGTTGGTAGCTGGATCCGCGCGTCATCTTCCAAGATTCAGCATTCGATATTTCGGCTCTGAGTGGGGTATAGAGGGGTCCAGGCACGCGGCAAGCAGGAACAGTTGCATCTCTCATCGTAACTCCCTTCAAACGAGCTTTGATCCTGGTAGTGGCCTCCTCGGTATCACAATAATCCGCCAACTCGTTTTCAGTTGGGATCCAAGTGGAGGAGCGCCGCCAACATGCACAGTGGGTTGCCATACGCAATATGATCCATCGCCAGCTCTTGCGAGTCAAATCACATGAGAGAAACTGGGCACGTGGGTGACGAAAGGTACCAAGTAGCCAGTCATCGTTACTGGACATGCTGCGAAGAAATATGCGCCCTAAGTGCCGCAGACGTGGGTGGCTGGTAAGTGTAGTACGGGCTGGTGTAGCTCGGGGAGAGAGAGAGAGAGAGAGAGAGAGAGAGAGAAAAAAAACAAAAAAGAGAGAGAGAGAGAGAGAGAGGGAGGGAGAGAGAGAGAGAGAGAGAGAAAACGGGCACAAGCAGGCGCTGGCAAGGTATCCCACACTGCTTTACTCTGCTTCCCACAAGATCTCCTTGATTCGGGCCTCGACCGAAGAGCTTCGTGCCTACCACCTGACGTGAGACTGGATCGCTTTCGTCGTCTTGTTCACCCAAGACTTCCAGGTCTGCATGTCTCGGCCTCCCGTCTCGGAAAATATCCAACTGGGGTAAGGGTACTCCAGATTTCGTAATAAAAGGGAGGGGGTCTGGACCCTCCAAGACAAGCCATTTCAGACCTCCCCCGTGGGAGAGAGAACCCTCCAAAACATCGTCCCCAGGCCCCCCCAGGCCCTCCAAGATAGCCTGGAAGAGACCCCCCCCGAAATGAGACCCCCCTCCCTTTATAACGAAATCTGGAGTAGTCGGACCCTCAAGCGCAACCACCGTATGTCGTCCAGAACCAGGGAGTGCCATGATCCCTGCATGTTGGCCGTCACGCGCATGACAGCAAAAAATGAGTTCGTCCGTGTCGGTACAGCCTAGGAAGGTGGCGAAGTCTGCTCCATCGCAGCATTGTGGGTAGGTCATGTCTCTGTGCCATCTTGACGATGGCCTCATCACTCCTTGCTGCATGGTCCTGCGCCGGCTGTCCAAGCGCCGCCCTGTACGGCATCATGATCTGAGTCGCATATATGTTGAGCTGGGCCTCCGTCGGCACCTGCCAAAGACCAGCATTGTAAAGCCTGCCCGACATGACATTCTCAGCACATCAGCCAGACGTACCTTGTCCGATGTAGGTAGCAGTCGGTTCTGGGAGGCCGCTTGCCGCAAGGTCCTAGTACACCTATCCGCCGAAGAAACCCTCTGGGCCATCTCTGGGCCCAGATCCATTCTGTCAGCGACGATGAGCCCAAAATGTTTCTATGTCCTCGGGGCCCCAATGGAGACCCCTGACGAGAAGTAGGAGACCGTGGGGCCTCGATCACACCTGTGTCTTCCAGCCAGAACTGCTTGCGAGCCGTGATGGCCCCCGTTGCCCCGGAACATGAGCATGGCCATTGTTTCCGTGGGCCCCAAGTTGATTCGGAGCCCCGCGGGTGTAAAAGCATGGCCTGCGATGTGACAAATCGCCTTCATGCTGGCAACAAGACGCTGAGCTGGTGCAAGAGTGAATCAAGACAATCATCAATGTAGATGGCCCCATCTGCTCAGGCCACCGTGCCACTGTCGATGCTGATGTTCGGGATCCTTCTCTAGGGGGCGGGGAACTCCTGCAGGAGGCGGGCCTGGTTGAGTTCCTGACGGGACTGAATGAGACACCTGGAGATGACAAACAAGAATGCCATGGAGGCGAGGGTGCTGCCTGGCCTGGACCCGGTAGTCGTGGCAGCTATCTTCCCAGCCCCAGGTCGGGTGTTGCTGGAAGTACCCCTGGCCCAAGGTGCCCCCAGGATCTCCAAGGAGGCCCCCACGCCCTCCAGAGCACCCCCTCACGAGGCCCAGAGGGCCCCCGGGGCCCCAAAACGGACCGAAAAGCTTGGGGCACCTTGGGCCAGGGGCACCTCTAGCAACACCCGACCAGGCGTCGTAGCCCAGATAGAAGAAAGCGTCTCAGCCAGGAGGGAGCAAAGGTGCCGGGGGGACCTCCAGCTCAGACAGGGCGGTGGGGGATCCCAGGGCCTTCTTTTTTGTGGGTGGATCTCTCAAGCTCTTCGCCGCCTCTGACGGTATGCGTTGCGAGCAGGAACGAAGCTTCGCCGTGTTCCTGCTCGCAACGCACACCGCCAGAGGCGGCGGAGAGCTTGAGAGATCCACCCACAACAAATGGGGAACCTCCAGCTCAGACAGGGCGGTGGGGGATCCCAGGGCCTTGGCCAGGTCATGTCGGGGAAACGTAAGACTCGAGTAAGCTGGAACTCGGTTTTGCCAACTTTTTCTTTGATGAGCGCGTCCTGGATTTTGACGGTCCCGTTTTCGTGGGATGTCTGCAGCGGGAGCCCGCGTCAGATTTTATATTGGGTCTTGTCATTCCTTGGCCAGGTCATGCATGGCCTCCCGGGGGAGGCCAGATGCTTGCAGAAGTTGAGCCGCCCTCTCGTCCGAAACCTCACCTGCGTCATGAGATCGGACCACCAATTCGCGAATGACATGGTGGAGCGCCGCCTCGAGGTCGACGAAGCAAGAAGCCCTGGCTGGTGGCACGCTGCATTGCAACCTGACGCAAAGAACGAGCACAAGGAGCTGCCAAATCTGCGCGTCGATCGCCAGTGCCTCCGTGCTGGGAGTCGGCCGCATATCTGTCCCAAAAGGGTTCGAGTCTGGCAAAAATCGATGGGAAAACAAAGAAAAAAGTAGGGCACGCTTGCCCGTTTGCTGGCCCACGGCAATGGCCTTGCCAGACTTGCACTCCTGCGGTGATCCCTTACCTCACACCTCGCGCAGCACAGAACTCTTCCACTGCAGTGGCTCCCGACGCCCA